AACACCAAACTTCCCATATTATGCCATATGCTTCCAAAACGCAAACAAACTAAGGAGGAAGTTAATGGTCTCATCATATGAGCTGTAATTGACCATCATTTTTGTTTCCTAGCTACCTGGTAGAATAAGACATGCTACTTTATGAGAGGAGGTATAGGTTCTTTTGCAAGATGGCAAACAAGTAGGAAGACAAACAAACAAAAAAGGTAATATGTAACATTTTTCAAGAAGAACATATATGTTAAAAACTAAAAGATAGCAATTCAAAGCTTCTTTTTGAAAAGTCAGATTAAAATCAGTGACTTTTTCCAGTAGAGGGAGAACTGGTTTCTGCCAACCACAATAGTATTTGCTAGGACAGAGAATTTCAAAGGACTCTAAGGGAGTTGTATGGCCAAATTCATGAGATTCCTTTGATAATACCAGCCTATTTAGTTAATAATGGTACTACTGTGATGTTTTATGTTCAGAGTTGTAATAATTCCTTGTGATTTACAACAGTTTAAAGAAACAGGCACTAAAATCTGTAATATTTCCCATTTCTGATAACCTTTAAAATCTTCCTTTGGAAACACCATTTACACTTTAGTGTATTAATCTAAGAATTACTCTTAACAGAACTGAGCTGTATAAAAACTCAGTCTGCTCTGCTTGCATATGAATCAAGTATCACAATATCAGTTTAGAGACACAGGTTTTTAATTTAATATTCTGTCTTGGACTTGAAACAGGTTATATTACTTTACTCATCAAGATAACTCAGAAGGTCTCCATAGTAGATAATTAAAAATGTCTCAAACACAAATCAAATTCTTCTTTCATGTAACATAATAGAAGTATAAAATGTTTCAACTCTTCTGTTACTTTTATCATTTTTTTTTTTTTTGCAATTAATCCCTTCCTACCGATGACAATGGACATACTGTTGCTATATGCTAAGGTACAGTATTCCTGCAATAACGTTTACTATCACATCATAAAATCTAAAACATGGCTTCTAGAGGATTCATTTTATTTCTACTTCTATGTGTTGTCTACAAATTATTGTAGTTTTCTTCACTGGCAACAAAAGAGATTTATGTTAAATGTTGAAACCATATAATATTACTTAAGGACCTGAATAATATAACAACAGGCCTTAACCCTGCAATGGTGACTGGGTAGCACAGGCCCCTGCTCTCAGGTGGGGTCCTGCTTAAATCAATCTTGGTACTACACATAAGTACAGGGGTCTGTGCTAAAAGACCACATTGTAGGATCTGGGCCTTAGTCTTAGCAGCAACCAATTTTCTTGTGCCACTTATCTCTTTACTAGGAGAATAAGATATCAGCATTTTAGAGCTAAATGACAGAAAATATCCAGAGTTTTCAGAGCTGCATAATACCTATAAGGGTGAAGATATCCCCTTGATGGCAGGACTGCTATCCAAGGAAAACTGGCCTGCAGAGTAGGGGCTTGTCTACACTGGCAGTTTCTGTGCAGTAAAGCAGCTTTTTGCACTCAAACCGCAGACGTGTACACGCTGCCAAGCCAATTTGTGCGCAGAAACTCCTCAGTTGCAGCGCTGGGGAAAAAAAACTACCTCCACCAGAGTTGTAAGGCTATTTGCACAGAGGCTCCAGCGCTCTTTTTTCAGTGTAGACACTTGATTGCTTTCTGCACTGTCATTGGCCTTCAAAGCTGTCCCATAATGACTCAAGTGACCGCTCTGCTCATTGTTTTGAATTCGGCTGCCCTGGAGACATGTGCCCCTCCCCTTTCAAAGCACCGTTGTGTGCTGTGGTAATCTGCTATGGAACACAAAGCAAACTGTTAATGTAGAATGTTCACGCTGTTGAATATAGAGGCAGAGGTGTGTGTGTGTGTGTGTGTGTGTGTGTGTGTGTGTGTGTGTGTAAAAGCAGCTGGCAATGTAGTAGGATGCCCATGGAACAATGGGATTGGGAAACCTGCATCGTGTGACACTGTGCCTGCCCCATGAGGCATTGCAAACCCTTCCCAAAGCACCCTGCGGCCAGTTGCACAGTGGGATAGCTACCACAGTGCACTGCTGCCTTTGCCGTTGCAAGGGCTGCTAATGTGGATGCGCTCTAGCGTCACAAAGAGCACAGTGTGGACACGCAACAGTGGTTTAATTCCAGCGTTTTAATAAAAGTGGTATAATTTGTGGCACAGAAACTTGCCAGTGTAGATATACCCTAAGACAAAATATCACCTATCCCCAACTCCCTCTCCCCTTCAGAAGAGACAGAACTGAAAGTTCTATTTTAGCAGCCTGACTGTGAAAAATGTTTGTCAAGTCCCAATGTTTCTAAAAAGGTTAGAGAATGTGTGATGTTTCTGTGGGTTTCCAGAAACCAGATATTACAGAAAAAGTTGAATTTTCCTATCTTTTTTCCACCTCTGTCTCTTTCCCTGTGTGCATTTGTCTCGTTTGGTCTTCAGAAGTAGGACTGGAGATTGCCAATGAAACCTGACACCTATCTCCTAAATTGAACACTTTTCCCCAACAAGTATATGTATTACTACCAGAAATTACAAGGAATAGCTTTTCCTTTTAAGAAAACTACAAACAGAGAGGGTCCAGGTGAAGGAATAAGGAAGGTGGTTAAAATGAAGATTAAATATTTTTAAGTATTATAAGTTTTAACTTTTTTTCTCTTTTTGTGTGTTTAAAAATGCATCGTGTTCATTTATTAATGATTTGTGCATGTGTGATACATATAATTGGGATATTGGTCAGGACCTTGAGGCTAAATTCAATCATACTTAGTGGATGTTGCGAACACCACAACTAATTTGTTTTTAATGTAACTGGATCATTGTGGATATTTTTACTTGTCATTTTTTAAACTGAAAACACATTGAAACATTTTGGTGAAAGATTTTAATTTTTGTTAAGCATTGTGTGTATGAGACAATGTGTATATTTATGCAGTGCCAAGGTTTTGGGTCTGATCCTAGCACTGACCAACACTTACTGTCTGTATAAAACTTAGTGGTTGACAAGCAGGTAATGTATTTTATAGATCAAAAAGTCTATTCAATTTATTCGAGGAAAATATTATATTTCACTGCCTTGCAAAATAGTTTGTGGACCTTATAAGTGGTTTCAGGGGATCAACACAAACTTGCTTTTTCCATTGGAAGGGTGAGACATACTTGGGGAAACAAAAGCCACGTGGGCTTAAACATTCTTTAAGTGAATTTACCACTTTGTTGATAGGGTTCTGCCAGGTGCAGAACAAAGGTTAAACTGTTTGGGTTTCAAAATTAGTTCTAATGATCTGTGATGTCATGCTCTCACAGTACAAACTCCATAAACTACAAGTGGTGCTGGGTGCAACAGAATCATAAATGAGTTAGGCTAGGGTTACCATATTTCAGCAAGCAAAAAAGAGGACGGGAGGAGCCCCGCCCCAGCCCTGCCCTAGCCCCGCCCCAGCCCTGCCCTAGCCCCGCCCCAGCCCTGCCCTAGCCCCGCCTCTGCCCCTTCCACTCTCTCCCACTTCCCGCCCCCCTCAGAACCCCCAACCCTCCCCCTGCTCCTTGTCCCCTGACTGCCCCCTCCTGGGACCCCTGCCCCTAACTGCCCCCCAGGACTCCACCCCCTACCTAAGCCTCCCTGCTCCTTGTTCCCTGACTGCCCCCTCCTGAGACCCTCACCCCATCCTAACTGGCCCCCTAGGACCCTACCCCCTACCTGCCCCCTGACTGCCCCAACCCTTATCCACACCCTCACCCCCAGACAGACCCCTGGGACTCCCACGCCCCAT